CGAAACAACAATTCCCGCTGTTGCGGAGCCAGAAACCGAGCCCCCAGCGCCGCCCACACATCCCCCCAATCCCAACACGGGAACAAACCCTCCACCCGCGGTGGAACACGACGAAACAAAACCCGATACACCGCCTTGACCGACAAGGACAGGAACCCCGGACAACGGCATACCTTCCGAAGAATTGCCACCGCCCAAGAGTAAACCGGGGGGGGGGGGGTACAGACCGCCGCCTCCCGACAAACACCAAAATCCACCAAATAGCTAAACCTAACAGAGCAAAAATAAACACAAACCATTGAGCCCCCCACCCAACTCAAACCCCTGACACAACGAGACCCAAAAGAGCGCCCGAGCCCTCGTGAACACATCAGGAATGCCCACCCCACCCTCCCGCACAGCCATCACCAACGTCGACCGGCGAATTGGGTGGTAACGACCACACCACACATAACGATAAACCTGGCGCTCCAACCCGAAAGCCAGCTTACGATCCAGGGGGAAAACCCGAGCCACGAACCAGACCCGGGACAAAACTTTGCAATTCACAAGCAACGCCCGCTGATAAAGCGTCAACGGGCGCACAGCCAGCAACCCAATCGCAACACCGACACTCCGGGAAACCATATCCCAATTGCAAGCCAAGGACCTCTCAAAGGAAGCGAACCAGGTAAGCCCCAAAACCCGCATAGAAGTGACAACCGGAAACCATGACCCCACCCACACAAGGCGAGAGGACCACCCACCAAGACCCATAAGACCGGACTTCGAACGATTCACCTGCGCCCCAGTGGCCAACTCGAACCTCTCAACCACAACCTGGACCGCCCCAACCGACCCCTCCGAGGCCAGGAACAGTACGGTATCATCTGCATAACCGCAGATAGGCAACCGAAGACCCGACGGCAAACGGGGGGGGGACGATCAACGGGCATCCCTTGATCGCCCGAAAAAACGGCTCCTGAAAGACGATATACAGGAGCATCGAAAGCGGACAACCCTGCCGCACCGAGCGACGCACAGGGAAAGAATCACTCAAAAACCCATTTACACAGACCCGACTACAACATTGAGCGTACAACATACGCACCCAACGAACAAACAAGGGCGGAAATCCCAGCCTCCCCAACACGCGAAACACAAAATCGAGCGACACACGGTCGAAAGCCTTCGACCAATCCAGACAAAGCATCGCTGCCGACAAGCGAGCGTCGGACACGTACAAGAGCACATCTCGAAACAATGCATTGCAATGCAACAAGGAACGACCCGGAACACCACAAAACTGCTCCACAGAGACAACAGACGCAACAACACTGCGACACCGACCAGCCAAGACCTTAGACAGGATCTTGTAGTCGACATTCAACAAGGTAATGGGCCGCCAGTTTGAGAATAACCGTAGATCGCCCGACTTCGGGAGAAGCCGCACAATCCCAACGCACTGAGACATAGGCAGAACGCACTCCCGAAGACAAGACTGGACCACCTCCAGCAGAACATCCCCCAACACATCCCAAAAGGCGACATAGAACTCAATAGGAAGACCATCCGAACCCGGCACCTTCCCGGAACGAAACGACCGCACCACCACAAGCAGCTCCGCCAAGGAGACCTCTTTCACCAGACCAGCACACTCCGCAACCGACAACCCAGGAAGGCACCGACCCAAGAAATCCTCCGCAAGTGCGGCGTCCCCAGCCACCTCTGCATACAGCGCAGCCAACTCCTGCCGAACATAGTGCAACACCCCACCAGTGTCCGAAACAACCGTCCCATCTGGCCGTTGCAAGGCCGTAAAAAGAACAGAGTCCCGCGCGGCCCGTACCTTACTTAAAAGAAATGGAGAAATCCGTTCCCCGTCGACCCTCTCACTTACACGAGCCCTCACACGCACACCCTCCGCCCACTCACTCCGCAACCCGCATATACGCGCCTTGCAGTCCACAATCTTATCAAAACAATCAACACCAGCATCGTACCGTACATACAACCTCGACAGCTGCGCCTGCAACAACCGCAGCAACCCAAAGCGCCCAGCAGCCTCGCGCTTAGCAACCACGCGAAAAAACAAACGACACTGCTCTTTACACCACTCCAAGACAGAGAAACTCACAACGCCGGGCTCGAATCCCGACCCACCAACACCGAAACTGACGACAAACACGCGGAGAACGCAACAACCCACAGTTTAGCTTCCACCACCCCGCACCGACCCGCACCTGACTGGGTACCCCAACCCGGACCACCACCAAACTGTGGTCGGAGAATGCAACCGGGACAGTGCGAAAATCATACACCGTACATTCCCCACCATTGACATACACCCTATCGATGCGCGAACGCACCCCACGTGCAGCAAAAGTAAACGACAACCCTCCACCAAAGAGCACGGCAGCGTCCCGGAAACCACATGAACGCACCACCTCCAGCAGCGCACCCGAGACATTCTGCGGACGGGCGCTACAACAATCCCGCGCACTCGTCACACAATTGAAGTCCCCTCCAAAAATCATGCCCCGCGTATCATGGCGCAAGAAAGGAAGAAGCCCCACCCGAAAAAACTCCTCCCTCTCCCGACGACGCGCTGCACCCGAGGGGGCGTACACCGTCAAAAACGGAATCACGACCCCCAAAAACTCCACCCGCACAAACAACACCCGCCCATCCTCGTCCAACTCCGTGTGAAGCACGGAGAAGGAGGCTTTACGAGAGAATAACATAAGGGTCCCCCCGAAAGGCGTCCTCGGCGAGTTGAGCACCACATGATAATGCACGCTTAGACACTGCAACACAGACACATCATGCACATTATGCTCCTGTATGAGAGCCACATCCACACGTTGCTCCTGCAAAACATCCAACAGGCCCAACTGGACCCCAAGAGCATTCAAACCCCGAACATTCAAGGACGCACAAACTACAGAGGGCGCCATCGGAACAACCTCAGGACACCCCCAACCCGTCGCGACACACAGGCCGCACTTCATCCTGGACCCCAGGGCGATCACAATGAACACCGTCAGTCGCCGTACCCAGCCCCACGGACGAGCCCTCTGCCGGATCCGCAGAGCCCCCACCAACCGGAACAAGGGCCGAAGACCCCCGACAGGTACTCTTAGACAACACGACCACCAGGTCCCGGTCACCGCGATGAGCCACCCACCCAGAGGTGCCACCATCAGGAGGCGCAGCTGCCGTCACTGGAGGCACCACAGAAGAAACCTCCTCGATGTCCTCGCCCGCAACCTCCATCGCAACACCACCCTCCGCCCACAACCGACGAGGCGATGTATCCTGAACCGAACGACGGCGCTTCACATGAGGCTGCTGATCGTCGGTACAACGACCCCCAGCAAGGGGTGCTCCAGAAGAACCCGACGCGGGCGGGCCCAAAGCCGAAGCAGCACGGGCACACACAGCAGCAACCTCCACAGCATGGGGCCACAGCTTACCACCACGCCCGGAGACCGGAGCAGAAGGAGCAGGTCCAGAAAGCGGGAGAGCACACTCCAGCTCACAGGGGGCATCCACTACGGACGCCGAGGCAATCGCAGCTGACGAACCACTGGATAAGGCAACCTTCGTAGACGACGAGGGAGTCGACGCAGAGTCAGAGGGCAGGGAGGAGGACACACACCCCACCACCCCAGCATCCCCGGGCAGCAGACAATCGTCAGCAGGGGAAGCAGGCACCACACTAACAGCAGCAGCCGAGGACCGCACAGAAGCCTCCGGCCGTGGATGCACCTCCGCCACCACCGAACGAGGAACCCCCGAGGTAGGAGCTCCCGTTCCCACAGAGCACACTGGGGAAGCAGACGTACTATGTCCCGACCAAACAGGGACCGAGGGAGCACTCGCTGAACCCGCCGCAGGAACCACCCCAGGCACCTCGCCAGGGCGAGAAAGCGATGAGGAAGCCCCCCGCGTCTCCAAAGGGGGGAAGTCACCCACCAAGAAAACGGAGGGAGCCTCAGCCCGAGGAGCATCACAGCTCGCTGCCACATGGCCCTCAGCACCACACCGGAAACAAGTACGAGTCTGTCCCTGATAGAATACTCTGAGCGAGAGCCCACGATACAGAAGACGAGATGGTACCGGTGACGTAATCTTCATACCTAGCGTACGAATGCCCGTACGCAGCCCGCTCAGCCGACCTGTACGCAGATGGTTGAAACGATGAAACTGCACCTCTCCATATTTTCCAAACACAACCCGCAGCTCATCCTCAGAGAACGTCACCGGTACACCATGCACACTCACGTACTGCACGGCCCCCCAGGGATCCGAAACGGCCACAGACACAGCCGCGTCGGTGACTGGAACAGAGTGGCCGGCCCAACGCGCCACAAACTCCTTGTACAGCGAGCTCCTGCAGAAGGTCATCGCCACTCGCGTAGGGGAAAGCTTTTCCAGCCCTATCAAATCCTGGACATCCGCTTGAAGCACATCGACGACAGCAACTTCTACAATCGCCCAGTCCACATCCCCTGAGAAGTCAAGGCACGCCGTGTCCACCCGCCGTACGCGGGACACACCACCAACCACCATACCACCAGCCGGGCCCTCCGGCCAGCGGGCGCACCACACCACAATCCACACCCGCCCCCACTCAGCACCAGGCGACAACTGGCAGGTCAAACGAGCACGTCCTGGCCCTCTGGCGGCCAGTGAGCGAATCCCTGTTCACTGAAATTGAAGAAAAACATTGAAAGAAACTAACGTTGTGTTTGTGGTCGGCGGATGTTATAACGACAGGCTACCCACAGTAATAAACTATAGAATGATACATCAAACTACAATGTATACTTAACATATGCATGTTGGAACACTTAGGCCTTCCGGTATCACGTCTGCTAGTCTCTGACGTTCACTATTGTGGACGATTAATTGCGGGACGTGACTATCTTCGTAGACGCATAATTAAACAGTAATTAATGATGTATGCCCACGTGATCTTGATGTAATGGCTGTCGCTTGCAGAGGCGAGTGCACTTATGCCGGAGTCGTCTGCTGGTAGAACACCTCCCTCATGCCCCAACGCCCGATCACGCATGCGCAGAGACGCTCATAGCGATCCCGTATTTAAACCAATTCAGTTTACTATTAATTATGTGGGGGAATAAAGGACTGGTGACAAGTGCTTATGTCACTAATAAATGTATTAAAGTGCAATATATTTTTGCACAATGCAAATCAACTTATTAAGACTGCATTAAGAATATTATATAAATTACTTTATACTATAATATTTTCCACTGTAGTAATTAATTCACCTAAATGAACGAATTCATTAAGCAACAATATGCTGTGTAAATAATCAACTGAATAAACGATTATCCTTAGTAAGGGAACGTAATTAACTAAACTCTATTTAGATGTAACTAAATGTGGAGAGATTCATGTTTTAGCCTGTCGTTCCTGACGTCGTCAATCTGACTAGGAAGAATTTGGCAAATATACTGCTTCGTAATAGAAACATTAATTGAATTAATTCTACATATTAGTAGTGTTAGTAATTACTTTGGGTTGATAAAATAATGATGTATTATAATACAATAATGATATATGATTCATTGATATATGATATATGATTCGAATATGAGCATTGATTCTCAATGCTCATATTCGTCGAGCGCTTACACACTGCTCCGAATGGAGCAACGTGAGTAGAGAGTTTGAAAGAATAACTCAGGTATTGGCGAACAATGGATACAGCAACACAGAAATAAACGCTGCTATAAGAAGACACCTGGACCGATGGTATAATCCTGAACCAAGAACAGAAACCACAGCAACTCCAATAAAATTATATTACAAATCAACTATGAACAGTCTACATAAAAAAAGAAGAAAGAATAATGAAAGAAATAATCCTTAAAGGAGTAAAAAGCATTACTCCTAACCAAAACATAGACCTGATCATATTCTACAAAACAAAGAAGACACTTCCGACCTTCTTATTAAAAACAGCCCGAAGCCGACGGAGAACCTTTTACAGCAGTCAAGCGTTTTATACATGTACACTTGCCCCCACGAAGGATATAACCTTCAATCTAAGTACATAGGTATGACGTCGACCAAGCTGATGAGGCGTTTGACCTGTCATCTTCAATCCAAAGCCCCCAGGAATCACATGAGACAAGCCCATGACATCATCCTAACAAGAGAAATGCTGAATAAAAATACTTGCATAATAGACAAAACCCAAGATGTAAGAAGATTACAAATTCTTGAAGCAATCCACATAAAAATAGAACAATCTACCAGGAACACCCAAATTACGTAACTATTTACTCTACTCACCATGAGAGTATGAACAAGAACGGAACATAATGATGCCAACACAAAAGACACGGCTCAACATAATAAGCCTTATTATCAACATAATAACACCTAAATTAATGTTCTCCCCTTGCGTTATTCTACTTGTTTTCACCTGACCCCGTACTGGTATAAATGTAACGCGATTTGTAATTCCTTATCACAAGAGAATAAACTATGCGGGTTCGAAACGTTGTGGAATTTTATAATAAGTGTAATATATTCTAAAGTTATTCACTTCTATTTCTTCACCTTGAAAACCAACATGACTTATGGTGAACTCCTTTTCCAGCTGAACCCTGATGCAAGAGCACTAATAAGAGGGATAAAAGCCCTAAGCCAGAAAATAGTTAACACGGAATATGCTGTCATATTCAATGGGACATGTTTAAAAGAAAATCTGCTGCCACTGCTATATTTTTATTGCCGTTATTGACTATTGACTGAAGAACTCTGTAGGGTAAGGCAGGTCCTAGTCAATAACGGCTTCTCCAATGGTTTCGTCGAAGACATCATAAGAAGGAAAGTGAAAAGCCATGCAACCTCTGAAGAGACAACTAACACAACACCTATACCCCCTATTAGACTATTTTACAGGAACTTCTTTTCCACAGCTCATAAAACGGAGGAAAGGGTCCTGAAAGATATTGTTAATAGAAACGTTATCCCTACAGACAAAAATCAGAGGATACAACTGACGATTTACTATAAAACCAGAAAAACGGCCAGCCTACTCATGAGAAACTCTCCAGACACAAAACAGAACGCTTTAAAAGAGACTAACGTCGTCTATGCCTTCAAATGCCCTCTTGAGGACTGTAAGCTCCAAAAAACCCAATATATAGGCAAGACAACAACATCTCTTTCTAGGCGTTTAACGATGCATAAGCAACAGGGCTCCATTAAGGAACATATAATCTCTTCCCACAACCAAACCATCGCCAGAGAAATCCTAGTAAACAACACAGAAATCATCGATAGATACAGCGGCTTGACGTTTGCGAGGCACTACACATCAAGAAGTCAACACCAGCAATCAACAGCCAATTATTGCACAACTATATTCTACCCACCTCAAGACTCCGCTCCAATATAGAAGCATCAAGAAATATGGACCAATAGGCTATCTACAAACACTTCTATTCAATATCCATTGTTTCGTGTTCTGTCTTGTGTTGATGAAATTAATACCCTATTAATACCACTTCTTGTTCTGTCTTGTGTTGATGAAATTAATACCCTATTAATGCCACATCTTGTTCTGTCTTGTGTTAATGCCACAACACCCCTTCCACCTCACTCAAATGTAGATATAAAATCGGAGATGCGTAAGTTCTATTCAGTTGTGTATTTGTGAACTAAAGTCTTTGAAAATGTAATAAGTTTTACGAAACGCGCTCGTGTCGCGTCAGACTAGAAATAAAAATGAATTTTGGAGAATTAATTTTTGATTTACCTCCAACAGTGAAAAGAAATGTACGAAAGATTGAGAAAATTCGTGTTAGAATTATTAATCTTACTTTTTCGGTCATATTTAATAATATATATATATATATATATATATATATATATATATATATATATATATATATATATATATATATATATATATATATATATATATATATATATATATTTCAATTAAGCCCTGATGCTAAGAAAATAGTTAGGGGAATAGAAGCCCTAAACCATAAAATAATAAATACAGAATATGCGGTCATATTCAATGAAACATGTTTGAAAGAAAACCTGCTGCCAGTATACACCAATATATATATATATATATATATATATATATATATATATATATATATATATATATATATATATATATATATATATATATATATATATATATATATATATATATATATATTAGTATATTTTGGTAGCAGTCTTTCCTGTAGACATATATTATTAAATATGACCGAAAAAGTAAGATTAATAATTCTAACACGAATTTTCTCAATCTTTCGTACATTACGCTTCACTGTTGGAGGTAAATCAAAAATCAATTCTCCAAATTCATTTTTATTTCTAGTCTAGACTAGAAATAAAAATGAATTTTGGAGAATTGATTTTTGATTTACCTCCAAAAGTGAAGCGTAATGTACGAAAGATTGAGAAAATTCGTGTTAGAATTATTAATCTTACTTTTTCGGTCATATATATATATATATATATATATATATATATATATATATATATATATATATATATATATATATATATATATATATATATATATATATATATATATATATATATATATTTATATATAAATATATATATATATATATATATATATATTATATATATATATATATATATATATATTATATATATATATATATATATATATATATATATATATATATATATATATATATATATATATATATATATATATATATATATATATATATATTGAATAGAAGTGTTTGTAGAAAGCCTATTGGTCCATATTTCTTGATGCTTCTATATTGGAGCGGAGTCTTGAGGTGGGTAGAATATAGTTGTGCATTAATTGGCTGTTGATTGCTGGTTTTGACTTCTTGATGTGTAGTGCCTCGCAAACGTCAAGCCGCCTGCTATCGCTGTATCTATCGATGATTTCTGTGTTGTTTACTAGGATTTCTCTGGCGATGGTTTGGTTGTGGGAAGAGATTATATGTTCCTTAATGGAGCCCTGTTGCTTATGCAACAGGGCTCCATTAAGGAGCCCTAAGAAGGTAGGGTTAGGTAGGGTTGGTTAGGTTCGGTCATATATTTACGTTAATTTTAACTCCAATAAAATAAAATTGACCTCATACATAATGAAATGGGTAGCTTTATCATTTCATAAGAAAAAAAATTAGAGAAAATATATTAATTCAGGAAAACTTGGCTTATTAGGCAAATCGGGCCTTGCATAGTAAGAGGTTTTTGGATTTCTAGTTTGAAAAAGCCAAGCGTACGTTTTATAATCACGTCCCCAAGGCGAAACCAGAAATTATTAACTCATTGGTGGTACCTTATACGAGTGGACTTGAAAAATTGTCTCCGATTTTTAAGAAACTTAATATAAATTTGGTGTTCACTAATAGTACGATCAAATCCAATTTAATAAAAAATTCCCCTGATGCATCAGGTTGTGTGTATTCGATTCCCTGCAATGATTGTGATTTTGTGTACCTTGGATAAACAGGAAAAACCTTACAATTGCGGTTGTCACAACATGCTTATAGTATTAGAACTGCCCAAATGTCTAATGCCTTGTATTTGCACACGAGTTTATGCGATCACAATATTAACTGGAATGGGACGAAAAGCATTACCAATTGTGGTGATTTCGTGGAACGGAATTTGATTGAGTCTGCTTTAATCAGTCAGTGTCCAAATCTTCTTAATGTTAGTACTGGTATGTACAAACTTGATCCATTTTTAAGTTATAATATTGCACAACAGTTTAAGAAAAAACTCTGATCGAGAGCCTTACAATATCTCATTACAATTTTACATTCATATATTGTGTGTTCATGAGGCTTTTCTTTAATCTTTCCTCCGTATTCTCTGACCGCTTAATCCTCTTTAACTTTTCCAATCTAAGCTATACATGTTTCTGGTGAATTCTTTCCCTAGAGATGGTTGGTCAGGTTCCAGGTGTCGGCCTGTATCCTCTTCCTTCTCCCTTCTCCTCTAGTCAGTCAGTCTTTTGTTGACAAAGGCTTTAACAGACCGAAACGTTCACTTTCTTTCATATTTCTCTGTGGATTTTCCGCATAAAATGATCAGTGTTTTGTGATCGTCAATTGCATATATATTGCATATAGCATCTATATATATATATATATATATATATATATATATATATATATATATATATATATATATATATATATATATATATATATAGACTTTAGTTTACAAATACACAACTGAATAGAACTTACGCATCTCCGATTTTATATCTACATTTGAGTGAGGTGGATGTGGTGAGGTGGCATTAATAGGGTATTAATTTCATCAACACAAGACAGAACAAGAGGTGGTATTAATAGGGTATTAATTTCATCAACACAAGACAGAACACGAAACAATGGGTATTGAATAGAAGTGTTTGTTGAAAGCCTATTGGTCCATATTTCTTGATGCTTCTATATTGACTTGGCTTATTAGGCAAGTCTCTTTCTAGGCGTTTAACGATGCATAAGCAACAGAGCTCCATTAAGGAACATATAATCTCTTCCCACAACCAAACCATCGCCAGAGAAATCCTAGTAAACAACACAGAAATCATCGATAGATACAGCGATAGCAGGCGGCTTGACGTTTGCGAGGCACTACACATCAAGAAGTCAACACCAGCAATCAACAGCCAATTAATGCACAACTATATTCTACCCACCTCAAGACTCCGCTCCAATATAGAAGCATCAAGAAATATGGACCAATAGGCTTTCTACAAACACTTCTATTCAATACCCATTGTTTCGTGTTCTGTCTTGTGTTGATGAAATTAATACCCTATTAATACCACCTCTTGTTCTGTCTTGTGTTGATGAAATTAATACCCTATTAATGCCACCTCACCCCATCCACCTCACTCAAATGTAGATATAAAATCGGAGATGCGTAAGTTCTATTCAGTTGTGTATTTGTAAACTAAAGTCTTTGAATATATATACATATATATATATATATATATATATATATATATATATATATATATATATATATATATATATATATATATATATATATATATATATATATATATATATATATATATATATATATATATATATATATATATATATGTCATACCTAGTAGCCAGAACGCACTTTTCAGCCTACTATGCAAAGCCCGATTTGCCTAATAAGCCAAGTTTTCATGAATTGTTTCTCGGCAACCTAACCTACCTAACCGAACCTAACTTTTTCGGCTACCTAACCTAACCTAACCTATAAAGATAGGTTAGGTAGGGTTGGTTAGGTTCGGTCATATATCTACGTTAATTTTAACTCCAATTAAAAAAATTGACCTCATACATAATGAAATAGGTAGCTTTATCATTTCATAAGAAAAAAATTAGAGATAATATATTAATTCAGGAAAACTTGGCTTATTAGAGAAATCGGGCCTTGCATAGTAGGCCGATATATATATATATATATATATATATATATATATATATATATATATATATATATATATATATATATATATATATATATATATATATATATATGTCGTACCTAGTAGCCAGAACGCACTTCTCAGCCTACTATGCAAGGCCCGATTTGCTTAATAAGCCAAGTTTTCATGAATTAATTGTTTTTCGACTACCTAAACTACCTAACCTAACCTAACATAACTTTTTCGGTTACCTAACCTAATCTAACCTAAAAAGATAGGTTAGGTTAGGTAGGGTTGGTTAGGTTCGGTCATATATCTACGGTTATTTTAACTCCAATAAAAAAAAATGACCTCATATATAATGAAATGGGTAGCTTTATCATTGCATAAGAAAAAAAATTGAGACCATATAATAATTCAGGAAAACTTGGCTTATTAGGCAAATCGGGCCTTGTATAGTAGGCTGAGAAGTGCGTTCTGGCTACTAGGTACGACATATATATATATATATATATATATATATATATATATATATATATATATATATATATATATATATATATATATATATATATATATATATATATATATATATATATATATATATATATATATATATATATATATATATATATATATATATATATATATATATATATATATATATATGTCGTACCTAGTAGCCAGAACTCACTTCTCAGCCTACTATTCAAGGCCCGATTTGCCTAATAAGCCAAGTTTTCCTGAATTAATATATTTACTATAATTTTTTTCTTATGAAATGATAAAGCAACCCTTTTCTCTATGTATGAGGTCAATTTCTTTTTATTGGAGGTAAAATTAACGTAGATATATGACCGAACCTAACCAACCCTACCTAACCTAACCTAACCTATATTTATAGGTAAGGTTAGGTTAGGTAGCCAAAAAAAGCTAGGTTAGGTTAGGTTAGGTAGGTTAGGTAGACGAAAAAACATTAATTCATGAAAACTTGGCTTATTAGGCAAATCGGGCCTTGAATAGTAGGCTGAGAAGTGCGTTCTGGCTATTAGGTACGACATATATATATATATATATATATATATATATATATAAAACCCCGCTCGTGTGCGAAAAGAACGTGCACGCCGCCTCTGTGATCACCTACTCCCCTTGTTTATACAATGTCTCCCTCTTTCTAAACAAATTACTACATCAAATCTCTCTACCCTAAATAGTAGATGAGGGTTGTAACAATTACAACATACTGACAGACATTGACAAAGCTCACAATTTTAATGAAAAAATTTAATTGAGATAGATATCCAGATAATCTCTAATGCTGTAGGAATAATTCGCTTATTTTAGAAGGGGGCATAAAATGTGGAGGTCGGGGAAGAGACAGACTCCTGGCACCGCCTGATTCTCTTCTCAGTCGAAATATAAAATCAGTTCTAATATATGAGTCACCAGCATGGCGGCTATTTTTCTCGTATCTACTGATAGGTGTTTAGCAACTGCCGGACAGTGGCTCATGACAGGGCAGGCGGGGCCAACACCCGGGCGGTGGCCGAGGACAAGGAAGGAGGGGCCAACACCCGGGCAGTGGCCGAGGACAAGGAAGGCGGGGCCCACACCCGGGCGGTGTCCGAGGACAAGGAAGGAGGGGCCAACACCCGGGCGGTGGCCGAGGACAAGGAAGGCGGGGCCAACACCCGGGCGGTGATCGAGGACAAGGAAGGTGGGGCCAACACCCGGGCGGTGGCCGAGGACAAGGAAGGTGGAGCCAACACCCGGGCGGTGATCGAGGACAAGGAAGGTGGAGCCAACACCCGGGCGGTGGCCGAGGACAAGGAAGGTGGAGCCAACACCCGGGCGGTGATCGAGGACAAGGAAGGTGGAGCCAACACCCGGGCGGTGATCGAGGACAAGGAAGGCTGGGCCAACACCCGGGCGGTGGCCGAGGACAAGGAAGGTGAAGCCAACACCCGGGCGGTGGCAGAGGACAAGGAAGGTGGAGCCAACACCCGGGCGGTGGCAGAGGACAAGGAAGGCGGGGCCAACACCCGGGTGGTGGCCGAGGACAAGGAAGGTGGAGCCAACACCCGGGCGGTGGCAGAGGACAAGGAAGGAGGGGCCAACACCCGGGCGGTGGCCGAGGACAAGGAAGGTGGAGCCAACACCCGGGCGGTGGCAGAGGACAAGGAAGGAGGGGCCAACACCCGGGCGGTGGCCGAGGACAAGGAAGGCGGGGCCAACACCCGGGCGGTGATCGAGGACAAGGAAGGTGGGGCCAACACCCGGGCGGTGGCCGAGGACAAGGAAGGTGGAGCCAACACCCGGGCGGTGATCGAGGACAAGGAAGGTGGAGCCAACACCCGGGCGGTGGCCGAGGACAAGGAAGGTGGAGCCAACACCCGGGCGGTGATCGAGGACAAGGAAGGTGGAGCCAACACCCGGGCGGTGATCGAGGACAAGGAAGGCTGGGCCAACACCCGGGCGGTGGCCGAGGACAAGGAAGGTGAAGCCAACACCCGGGCGGTGGCAGAGGACAAGGAAGGTGGAGCCAACACCCGGGTGGTGGCAGAGGACAAGGAAGGTGGAGCCAACACCCGGGCGGTGGCAGAGGACAAGGAAAGTGGAGCCAACACCCGGGCGGTGATCGAGGACAAGGAAGGCGGAGCCAACACCCGGGCGGTGGCAGAGGACAAGGAAGGCGGGGCCAACACCCGGGCGGTGGCAGAGGACAAGGAAAGTGGAGCCAACACCCGGGCGGGGATCGAGGACAAGGAAGGCGGGGCCAACACCCGGGCGGTGGCAGAGGACAAGGAAGGCGGGGCCAACACCCGGGTGGTGGCCGAGGACAAGGAAGGTGGAGCCAACACCCGGGCGGTGGCAGAGGACAAGGAAGGAGGGGCCAACACCCGGGCGGTGGCCGAGGACAAGGAAGTCGGAGCCAACACCCGGGCGGTGGCCGAGGACAAGGAAGGCAGGGCCAACACCCGGGCGGTGGCCGAGGACAAGGAAGGCGGAGCCAACACCCGGGCGGTGGCCGAGGACAAGGAAGGCGGAGCCAACACCCGGGTGGTGGCCGAGGACAAGGAAGGCGGAGCCAACACCCGGGTGGTGGCCGAGGACAAGGAAGGCGGGCCCAACACCCGGGAGGTGGCCGAGGACAAGGAAGGCGGAGCCAACACCCGGGTGGACAATACCGGCCGCACCTTCCCTGGTCGCTCACTGCTCTCTGGGATCCCAAGCCAAGAACAAGCAGGTGAAGACTTGCTCCCTGAAGCTCGTCCGTGTTAGTTCGTAAGTAAGACATTTTAGTAACTTGTAGAACTGTTATTTTGTCACATGTGTAAGGTCTGGCTGTGACGCTCAACCAGAATTAGGTGTCGTTACAGTCCATTTTAACTGAACATATGTGGAAAGTTATCCGAATAAATGGCTGGTTAAAACGAGGTATAAGTGTGTGTCGGATAAAATATATGTATGTGTGAGGTGTTTAAGTGTTCGTCAGGTCAAATGTATGTGCTGTATTAGGTGTAGTGGTCTGTGCTGTAAGTGCTTTTGTGGTACATACTAAGTGTATTCTGAATACAGGGTAAGTGTGTGAGCTGTATAAGGTGTATGAGTGGGTATTTTATAACCTGTGTGTGTGGGAGCTGTATAATGTGAATGAGAGGGTGCGGAATAAGGTGTATGAGTGAGTGCGGAATAAGGTGTATGAGTGAGTGTGGAATAAGGTGTATGAGTGAGTGCAGAATAAGATATATGAGTGAGTGTTATATAAGCTGTAGGAGTGGGTATTGTATAAGCTGTATGAGTGGGTGCTGTTTGTTTGTTTGTAAGTGTGAGCTAGGTAAAATGTATGTGTTGTATTAGGTGTAGAAGTGTGTGCTCTATGAGCTTTTGGGGTACATACTTAGTGTATGCTGAATTCAATGTATGTATATGAGCTGTATAAGGTGTACGAGTGGGTGCTGTATTAGGTGTATGAATGGGTGCTGTATAAAGTGAAAGAGTGGGTGCTGAATAAGGTGTATGAGTGGGAACTGTATAAGCTGTATGAGGGGTGTTGTATAAAATGTATGAGTGGGTGCTGCATGTATGAATGACTACTGTATAAGGTGTATAAGTGGGTGTTGTATAAGGTGTATGAATGGGTGCTGTATAAGGTGTATGAATGGGTGCTGTATAAGGTGTATGATTGGGTGCGATATAAGATGTATGAATGGGTGCCGCATAATGTGTATGAGTGGGTGCTGAATATAGTGTGTGAATGGGTGCTGTATAAGGTAGGAGAGTGGGTGCTATATAAGGTGTATGAATGGTGTTGTGTAAAATGTATAAATGGGTGCTGTATAAGGTATGTGTGCGCCGTATAAGGTGTATTTAAAGTTTTACATTCAATAATATATTTTTCTAGTTAAACTTTTACAGGCTCATCAGAGTATACATGCTGCATGCTTCTGAAATGACTCAACCTCAGTAACTTGCCAGATGGGACTATATAGCGAAGCGAATTCACGCCATCACTGCACCACACTTCTCATAAATTATGAGAAGGATTAAGACAGAGGAGGACAGCTTGAGGCTTCAAGAAGACCTAGAGAAGCTGCAGGAATGGTCGAACAAATGGTTGTTAGAGTTTAACCCAAACAAATGCAATGTAATGAAGATAGGTGTAGGGAGCAGGAGACAAGATACAAGGTATCATTTGGGAGATGAAATACTTCAAGAGTCTGAGAGAAAGACCTGGGGGTTGATATCACGCCAGACCTGTCCCCTGAAGCTCATATCAAGAGGATAACATCATTGACATATGCCAGGTTGGCTAACAAAAGAACGGCCTTTAAAAACTTGTGTAAGGAATCTTTCAGAACCTTGTATACCACATATGTCAGAACAATCCTGGAGTATGCGGCTCCAGCATGGTGTCCATATCATGCCATATCTAGTCAAGCATAAGACTAAACTGGAAAAGGTTCAAAGGTTTGCCACCAGACTAGTACCCGAACTGAGGGGTATGAGCTATGAGGAGAGACTTCCGGAATTAAACCTTACGACAGTGGGAGACAGAAGAGTTAGAGGGGAAATGATCACCACGTACATGATTCTCGGAGGAATTGATGGGATAGATAGAGGCAGGCTATTTACCACAAGGGGCACACGCACTAGGGGGGTTATCTTGAGGTTATCTTGAGATGATTTCGGAGCTTTAGTGTCCCCGAGGCCAGGTCCTTCACCAGGCCTCCACCCCCAGGAAGCAGCCCGTGACAGCTGACTAACACCCAAGTACCTATTTTACTGCTAGGTAACAGGGGCATAGGGTGAAAGAAACTCTGCCCATTGTTTCTCGCCGACGCCTGGGATCGAACCCAGGACCACAGGATCACAAGTCCAGCGTGCTGTCCGCTCGACCGATCGGTTCCCCCCCCCCCCCCGGAAGAGGGGGGGGGGCACAGGTAGAAAATGAGTGAATAGATGAGCCATAGAGACGTTAGGAAGAATATTTTCAGTGTCAGAATAGTAGACAAATGGAATGCATTAGGAAGTGATGTGGTGGAGGCTGACTCCATACACAGCTTCAACTGTAGATATGATAGAGCCCAGTAGGCTCAGGAACCTGTACATTAGTTGATTGACAGTTGAGAGGCGGGACCAAAATTGAGTTTGCGGCTTAACCACCGCAAGCACAATTAGGTGAGTACACTGCCTTCTTCGATTACAACAATTACCGAAGATTTCAGATCTTTGGCGTTTTTTAATTCTTCAAAATTTTTAGTAATTATTTTATCTGTATTTTTTTAAATAATTGTATTTAACAGTCCAAAGTCACTGACTGTAATTTCATCTTTGCAAGCTTCATTAGTCAATGGATCTTTAGGCACGCTTTCCAGTTCTAATATGGGAAGAAATACAAACAAATTTCCATTATAAGTTTAAATTCCATTCCATTTAATATTACAAGCCATTTCAGTCACTTATTATAAGGGTTGTTTAAAGACTGTAATGTACTTATAGGCTCACAAGAATCCCTCAGTCCTAATTTAGTACTGAATGTGAAGATAAATACCTAACAGTTTAGTTTAGGACTAATTCCTCTCTCAACTCCTGAACGAATGACACGTGCGTTCCGTGAGAGACACGCCACGTGACACGTGGCTCAGGGGAGAGACACGCCACGTCACACGTGGGTCAGGGGAGAGACGCGCCACGTCACACGTGGGTCAGGGGAGAGACACGCCACGTCACACGTGGGTCAGGGGAGAGACACGCCACGTCACACGTGGGTCAGGGGAGAGACACGCCACGTCACACGTGGGTCAGGGGAGAGACACGCCACGTGACACGTGGCTCAGGGGAGAGACACGCCACGTCACACGTGGGTCAGGGGAGAGACACGCCACGTCACACGTGGGTCAGGGGAGAGACACGCCACGTCACACGTGGGTCAGGGGAGAGACGCGCCACGTCACACGTGGGTCAGGGGAGAGACACGCCACGTTACACGTGGGTCAGGGGAGAGACACGCCACGTCACACGTGGGTCAGGGGAGAGACGCGCCACGTCACACGTGGGTCAGGGGAGAGGCACGCCACGTCACACGTGGGTCAGGGGAGAGACACGCCACGTCACACGTGGGTCAGGGGAGAGACACGCCACGTCACACGTGGGTCAGGGGAGAGACGCGCCACGTCACACGTGGGTCAGGGGAGAGACACGCCACGTCACACGTGGGTCAGGGGAGTGACACGCCACGTCACACGTGGGTCAGGGGAGTGACACGTCTAGTGCTAATGAAGAGACCAACATTTTGACCTATTTGGTCCATTGTCAAGTCGTAATTTGATATTGATCTATACTAGTCCAAGACGCAAATTTCGTTGCTCTATTTTTGTATTCAGTGAGCATAGCTTCTAAATTCCAATGCTGTAGAACAATTGCAAAATATTTATCATATTGCAGTAATTCAAATAGCAACAGCAATGCATGATTTTTTTGTATATATATTCATTAAAACAGTGAAACTTTCAGAACCATGAATCTGAAGCTGTCTATTTTTTTCCACACAGAAATGGCACGAAAAGCAATTGCCAAAAAAACATCTCTGGCTGACCGTGCCATGTTTGTTGTGATGTACAAGAGCGGAATGTCGGCCCGAGCTATAGCTAAGGAGAGGGGCACCAGCGTCTCCACCGTGTGCAGGTGGATCAAGCGATGGACAAATGAAGGGAACCTGAACACAAACCTCAGTACGAGTTCGTTTTTAATAAAATATCTCACAAAGAAAACCTGCATTCCTCACAAGCTACGGCTACATCGAAATCCATCTTCTCCAGATGTTTCTCAGAAACTCTTGCAAGAGGCATATCTATCGCCTCCTGATGTCTCTCAGAAACTCTTGCAAGAGGCATATCTATCGCCTCCTGATGTCTCTCAGAAACTCTTGCAAGAGGCATATCTATCGCCTCCTGATGTCTCTCAGAAACTCTTGCAAGAGGCATATCTATCACCTCCTGATGTCTCTCAGAAACTCTTGCAAGAGGCATATCTATCGCCTCCAGATGTCTCTCAGAAACTCTTGCAAGAGGCATATCTATCGCCTCCTGATGTCTCTCAGAAACTCTTGCAAGAGGCATATCTGGTGCCTCCTGATGTCTCTCAGAAACTCTTGCAAGAGGCATATCTATCGCCTCCTGATGTCTCTCAGAAACTCTTGCAAGAGGCATATCTGGTGCCTCCTGATGTCTCTCAGAAACTCTTGCAAGAGGCATATCTATCGCCTCCTGATGTCTCTCAGAAACTCTTGCAAGAGGCATATCTGGTGACTCCTGATGTCTCTCAGAAACTCTTTCAAGAGGCATATCTGATGCCTCCTGATGTCTCTCAGAAACTCTTGCAAGGGTCATATATATTGGCCCCAAGAATTTCTCGGATACTCCGGCCAGAGGCATGTCTATCGTGGCTCTGCAGTAGAAATAAATTAGCATTATGTCACTACATGGATTTTATTTTTTTGTCAAATTCCAGATTTATGCGTGGAATTCCTAGATAAATTTAAATATATCACCGGTGTTGTGGGACTTTGGTAGAGACTTGTCCCTGAGAAAGCCGAGCCAAGTTTGGTAATAACAAGGGGGCGTATTATATACAAATATTAATCTTTAAATTAATAAATTCGGATCCGTTGGAAATCATCTTGCAAATGTACTTTCAACAAAAAAATCTGTAACTCATACTCCTATGATAATTTTAGAAGATAAATTAGTACTTTGCAAATAAATAGTCAACACATTCTTCGTCTAATTTATGCTATGTCGCCCTAAACACTCGCAACAAAAATATGGATGAAAGTTTGTAATGCATCTTTTGTCATAACATTCTCCGGGAAAGCTGCCAAAGAAACTTGAAAATTGTTGTCATTCAGAGATGAACGAAAGCACGTGAGTATATTTTGTTTATGCTGTCGTCCTCAGTGGCGAGGCAGCGATCCATTACCTGACTGAGGACCTAAATGAAACGCTGTTTCCAGGCCAGTTTCACTCCCTCATACTCGCTGATGAGATGAACCATCACAGGGAAGCCCGAGTGTATCATGTCGTCATCGGATGACATTTTGCAACCATTTGGCCAGGAGCATCAGTAGGCTTGGCGGTAACGAACCTTTCTAGTAAATCCTGTTACTTGTCGACCTCGCGACAATACTAGTTTATTGAATCATCCAGTAATATACACTAACATTACCATCGAGAATGTGCAAGACAGCATAGCATCACCTCCTTCCTGGCTCTTGGACAAGGGAAATTAACGGGAAGTGTACAACTACGAACAACCAGCATATTTGGTCTGTTCTCTTGACAATAGATACTAATACGCAAACTGAAAACTAACTTACCAAATTATAAAATAAGAGAAAGTGCATATTCTTAGACAGGACAAAGGTAACCTAGTGACCAATATTGGTTTGGGAGTCAGTGTAGAATTTAACCCGAATAATATATATTTCTTATCAGGTAGCTGTGAAATTAAGTAATTTTTGTGCTAAAAATTCGAAATAAAAAATGGGTTAAACTGTAAGCAGTTTTAGGCCCTTTAAATTTAATGTCTCTCACCTCATCACACATGCCTCTTAGTTCTGGGACTAGCCTAGTGGCATACCTCTGGATGGATGGAAGGAGCCTAGTGGATGGAACATTTTCCAGCTTCATCTTGAGCATGGCGAGATATGGGCTCCATGCTGGAGCTGCATACTCAAGGATAGTTCTTACATAAGTGGTTTTAAAGGTTCTGAATGATTCCTTATATAGGTTCCTGAAGGCAGTTCTGATGTTTGCCAGCCTCGCATATGCCGTAGATGTTATTATTCTAATGTGGGCTTCATGAGACAAGTTTGGTGTGATATCAACTAGATCTTTCTCTCTCTCCGTTTTATGAAGGACTTTATCTCCTATTTAGTATCTAATGTCTGACCTCCTGTTTCCATAGCCTAGTTTCATTACCTTACATGTACTCGGGTTGAACTTTAGTTCCCATTTATTGAACCATTCATTCAGATTGTCTAGGTCATCTTGTAACCTCATACTGTCTTCTTCTGTCATAATCCTCCTCATAATTTTTGCATCATCAGCAAACAATGAGAGTAACGAGTCTATACTCTCTGGGAGATTATTTACATATCAGAAACAGTATAGGTCCTAGGACGGAACCCTGCAGGACTCCACTGGTGATGCCTCGCCAATCTTAGACCTCACCCCGCATCTCCAGCTTTTGCACTTGTCTCTTGAGTGGTAAAGTGTCAAAGGCTTTTTGGCAACCCAAAATATACAGTCTGCCCACCTCTCTCTTTCTTGCCTGATTTTTGTTGCATGGTTGAAGAATTCAATTATTCCTGTAAGGCATGACTTGCCATCCCTGAACCCATGCTGATGTTGTGTTACAAAGTTCTTTTGCTACAGATGTTTCATTTACTTTTTTCGCACAATTTTCTTCATCAACTTGCATGGTATGCAAGCTAGTGAAACTGGTAGTTCAGTTCCTCCTGTGTATCCCCCCCTCCTTCTATATTTACAATACATTAGCCATCTTCCAAATTGTTTGCAGTTCACTTGTTACCAGTGATTTGTTACGCACTATGGAAAGTGGTAAGCACACTGCTTCTGCTCCTTCCTTTAGTATCCATGGTGAGATTCCATCATGGCCAATGGCTTTTGTCACATCCAACTGTAGCAAAATCTTCCTTGCATCCCTCACTGGTAATCCAAATCTCCTCTAATGGTACCTGGTTAACTATTCCCTCTCTTATCTCTGGAACTTCTCCTTACTCTAATGCAAATACCTCATATAATTTCTTATTGAGTTCCTGGCACACTTCCTTTTTGTTTACAGGGATTCTGTCTGCCCCAAACCTCGGTTTCATTACCTGTTTCTTCACTGTGGGTTTTTTTCCTGATGTGGCTGTGCAGCAGTTTAGGTTGAGTCATTGCATTCCTACCAATGTTATTTTCGTTTTGCCCTTCTGCCTCTCTTCTCACTCTGACGTTTTCATTCCTGGCACTCTGGTATCTTGCTCTGCTCTCAAGTGTCCTGTCATTTCTATAGTTTCTCCACTCCCTTGTAATTTGTTGCTTTGCAAGCTTACATCTCCTATTTAACCATGGGTTTCTCATCTGCATTACTTTTTTTTTCCTTTTGGACAGGGACAAACTGCTGCCTCCTTACATTTCTACATGAAGTAGTCCATCATGTCATGACCGTCTTTCCTCTGAGCTCTGTTTCCCATGTTATATATGTTAAGAACTTTCTTATCTCCTCATAGTTTCCCTTTCGGAATGCCAGCCTTTTGCTTTCAGGTCTCTTCTTTGTGAACATTAACCCTTTTTCGACCAGATACTCAAACGTCAGTACACTGTGATCACTCATCCCTTCTGGGGCTTCGAATCAAATTTCCCTTATGTCAGAGTCATTCAGAGAGAAGACTAGGTCCAGTCTCTCTGGTTCCTGGTTTCCTTTTATTCGTGTGGGGGTCCCTTGACATGCTGGCTTAATACGTTTTTTGTCGCCACCTCCTTTGTGAAATTTAGGTTGTTTTGTTTAGTTTGTTTGTTTAGCTCTCCATGTTTCCTCACCTCCATGCATTTCCTTGTTCTTCCAGTCTATCCTTCCATGATTGAAGTCCTCTATGATGAGCAGGTGGGATCGATTTCTACACGGCAACTGAGGCTGCTCTCTCAATTATAGAGTTAACTGCCATGTTGGTTCTGTCATACTCTTGCCTAGGTCTTCTGTCGTTTGATGGAGTGTTATATATCACTGTTATTATTACTCTTGGTCCTCCCATCGTCATGGTGCCTGTAATGTAGTCTATGAACCCCTCGCAGCCCAGTTAACCCATCTCCTTGAAACTCCATTTCTTTCTCATTAGTAGGGTTACACTGCCTCCTCCCCTTCCTTCTCTCTCTTCTTTTATTACAGTGTAGTCTTGGGGGAAACACTTCATTTGTTATGATTCCTGAGAGTTTTGTTTCCATGAGTCAAATTATATCTGGGGTTCACTTTTTGTGGTAATTTCCTTTAGTTCTCTTACCTTGGTTGTTATCTCATCTATGAGTACATCACCTTAAATCTGTCTCAGTCTTTCCATCACTGTGTCTCTTCCCTTGTTTCCTCTCTCTCTCTCTCTCTCTCTGTCTCTTGTTTCTTTCCCGCTCTGTGTCTCTGTATGCGTTTCTGTACAACTGTCTCTATTGATCTATCAATCATTCTCACTGTCCATCTCTCTCTTTCTCACTCTCTTGCTCACACACATCTCTTTCATTCTCTCTCTCTCTCTCTTGTTATGGATACATTGACAAGACCCCCACATTTATATATATATATATATATATATATATATATATATATATATATATATATATATATATATAGTTCTGAGCTCACGGTCAGTGCTCACATTTCACTATTAGGAGACAAGGACAAGAACCTCATATTAATGTAAAGAGGTAGTAACCTTCAGCATCATTGGAACACATAGCCTGGCCAAATATCAATCAATGTTCTAGAGGAGTGAAAGGCTAGTAAAAATATTCCAGTTTACTGGCATTAATATAAATCCACATAACATTAAAATAATAACCAGCTACTAACTCACACTCCATTACTTTATCCAGCTTCTCAACAACAGGGCATGATCATAAAAACAGGTCTGGAAACTACATCAATAAACACTAGCTGACACCAGGAACATTGCCTGGTGCAGTGGAACACTTGCGCCTATATGCTGCTAATACCAATACAGGGTGGTGGTGTCACAACCAGTAACACATGAGGTATGAGGAAACAATATCACATACAGAACCATGCCATTACTTCAGTTCCTCACCTCAGAATATCACCTCACAAAGACATATAAAAATCCTCTACCATACATGATGAACAAACGTAGAAATGATCCATGGTAATATGTACTGTGATGGATAAAAAAAGGATGTAGGTGTTCGGCAGTCCTCCTAATGGCAGGTGTCAATGCTAATCACATTTACAAAAAAAAGTTGACTGCGTGGCTGTTGCCTCCTGTGGTAAAGTGAGGGAAAACACGCAAAGCAAATCGTATGAACAATGAAACTAATTAACTTGAAAACAAATATGAACAAAGATAATCCCTTGGCTATGTACAGTGCAAATAAACAAGATTACAAAGTTAAAAAATAATATAAAATAAAACATTGGTTACATTACTCTACAATGAATAAGACAAAAAATTAATTAAAAGGTGCTGAGAATATTGGCTGGCTGAACACATCCACTATTACACAGAGCGTATATTAGATAGGTGTGTCAGCTTTGAGAGCACAGAATATTCTAAATCTAATGGCTCGTGCACGCTTAGTCATCGGCTATGCAGATGGCGCTGAAGTCGAGTGCAGACGACGATTCACCAATGGGACGCATGCTGGCT